CGGGAAAACCATCAGGCCAACTAGCAACCCCTTCCTCCTGCCCTGCCCTGCCCTGCCCTGCCCTGCCGTCTCCTACCTGCTGAGATCGGGAGGGCGCCGCTGATGGGCCTGGGCTGAGACACGGCAGAGACAGAGCGGAGGAAGAGCTGAAGATAGATCCCCAGAGTCATCAGATCCAGGACCGCCATGCTGGCTGGGTCTGAGTGTCGGCCTCCCAGGGAGGCTGCAGGGAGGCGGCTGCGGGCCTCTTGCTCTGCTCTGTCTTCAAGGCTGTGCCTCCCTCCCCGGCCCCCATGCCTTTACTCAGAAAGAATGCCAACCATTTCCCACTGGCCATCCTCCCTACTACACGGGTTATATTTATCTCGAGCCCCGGATCGAATGCCCACAGTACAAGGAAGATGTCAGGGTTTTCTGTTTTGGAGACTGAAGTAAGTAGTGATTGAGGCGGTGACGAAACGGCAGCCAGGCCTCCCAGCTCACTGGCCCCATCCTCAAGGGCAAGCCGACTTCCCTGCTTCTATTGAGGAGCTCCTCAACATCGGAAAGGCCCCTCTCCGGGTCACCCTGGCCTTCCTGTAAACAAACCTTGCTGTCTACCTATGACACTGTTAATGGCTCGTGACAAACACAGGACTGCCCTGGGGCTCTTTCTCTTTATCACCCAATAATAGGGGCAGCAGCTATATTTCCAAACGGCCTTCTCTGTGGAAGCATTTTTTAATCTCCAGGGCTGCTACCTTTAACCCCGTACAATGCAAATAAACAAAAACAATAAATGGTAAGGTGAATGATTACTTATCAAACTCTGTTTGAAGAAATAGCCTTACTAACTTGATATTTGGCTAGGCAAAGGTCTTCAAGTACAAATAAAAGTTATTGCATCTTCAAGGACCAGCAGATGGCATAATGATTACGTTGCTGGACTCCCACGTAGACGACCATGGTTTGAGTTCCAGACCCAGTGGCTTAAAACTCATGCCGGGCACATGTGTGTGTGTGTCCAAAATCCCAAGAGGAGGATGGAGGAGAAGGGAATACAGCATGACCATCCCCACTCAGGGATGATTTCTCGCTTGCTGTTTCTCTGCTCCTCTCCATCTCTCCCAGCAAGTGTGCATGTCTGATAGCAAAAATCTCTCTTGAAAAAAAATTATCTTCAAATGAGTACTTTTCATGAATTTATAAAGTCTGTTATAGAAAGCCTTAGATAACTAAAATAAATGAATTATCCATGAAGTTGTTCATTTTGCTTTGGTTTTCATAATGTTCCCAGCGCCTCAAGAGAGTTCATTCAGAACCTTTTTTTCTGTAAATTATTTTTTGAATTTTATTTTCAGATTGATTTTACATTTTACATAAAGTCCCCATCATGATGTATTTTATATATATATAGAAGTTTTTGCCTTAGGGTATGTGGGTTTAACAGAGAGACAGAGACAGTGAGAGAGAGAAAGTGAGAAATCACCCCCCAAGGGGGATGGCCAAGCTGTAATCGCTTCTCCATTCTCCTACCGGGATCTTGGGCATGCACGCACATGCATCGCGTGTGAGCTTCAAGCCACTGGGTCTGAGACTTAAACCACAGTGACCCATGTGGGAGTCCAGCGATGTAACCACCACCCCATCTGCTGGTCACTGTATATATCTGACACTGTGTATTTTCCTGTCTATCAAGTGTTTCACCCCTTTGCACCTCACCCCCACCCTCCCTGTACCATCCATCTTAGTCTCTAGCACCCCACCCTCCTCTCCACCGTCACACTTCAGATCTCTCCACTTCTGCCATGGAGTGTAGACACTCACACAAGTTGAATGGAGATATACAATGTGTACCTTTCAAAGCCTGGCTTCTTTCGCTCAGCATTAAGTTGTCTCTGTTCATCCACTTGAGTCAGATGATAGGACGCTGTTGTTTCTCAGAGCTGAGTAACACTCCACGGTATGTACGTGCCAGTTTTTCAGCCTACTCATGCGGTTTCGGACCTTTAGGCTGGTGCCATGTTTTAGCAATTGCAAATAATACTGTAACGAACATGGATGTGCAAATGTCTTTCTGATTTTTTTTTACCCTTTGGGTAAATACCAAGGAGCGGGATTGCTGGATCCTATGGTAGTTCTATTTGTAGGTTTTTGAGGAATCTCCATATTGTTTCCACAGCGGTTGTACTAATGTACATTCCCAACGGTGTAAGAGGAGTCTTTTCACCACAGCCTCACCCATACTTGTCGGTCTTTATTCATTCTTTATTGGTGTTTTATTTTTTATTTATTTATTTATTTTTTATTCTAGCAATTCTAACTGGGGTTAAATGGTATCTCATTGTACTTTTATTTTGGATTTCTCTTATGACAAAAGACTGTGAACTTTTTTTATATGCCTTTTGGTTATTCACAAATCTTCTTTAGAGAGTTTCTATTCAACTTATTTCTCCATTTTTAAATTGGATTATTCATTTCTTTTACGGACGAGCTGCTTTAGTTTCCTACATATGCTCGGTATCAATCCTTTGAGGAATAATTTGCAAATGTGCAACGGAGTGGCCCAGACCCCAGTGGTACGCCGCGGTGGCCCAGAACAAGCACCCAAACACCTCCCTGTGCTCTGACCAGCCTGGCTTCAGAAATGAGGCCAGTCATCCACGTGCACCTGGGCCAGAGACGAGGGGCCAACTGTTCTTAGCTAAAACACGTGAGCCTGTGGGCAAATAGGGAGATGTAATTTCAGATCCATTCATCGATTACCCGAGGGCTTATTAAAGCCCAGATTTCCAAGTTTCTGACTCGAGATGTCTTGGCATAGACAGGGGTTTCCATTTCTCATGTTACCAGGCACTGCTGCGGCTGTGGTCCACGGACATGCTTGGAAAGCCACTGGCCTGGGCCTGAGTGTGCAAAGCGTGTGCACCTACTGGATGGGAGTGCTGGGACACAAGTTCAGCTGCCTGCTCTCAGCAGGGACACGACACAGACCTGGAGCTTCCCTGGGACATTCTGCATCGTGGCCTTGTTCTGGTTTCTTCTCCACCCTGCTCCTCTTTCCTGTAAACATCACATCCATCTTAAAAACATGCACAGCCCCTATGTTTCCATTTCTGTCAATACTGTACTCTATTTCACTGTATTGGTGCACAGATTCTCAGAACTGAGAAGGGCTGTGGTTTTCAAATTCAAAACACATTTTGAATTGAGGCCAACTTAAAAACACGTCTCATTTTTTTTTTCTGGTCTTGCTTTATTTATTTTAGAATTTTCTTTATTTATTTGATTTATTTTAATTTTACCAGAGAGGGACAGAGAGAGAGAAAGAGCGAGCAAGCCGCCAGGTCTGGGACTGAAACCGTGGTTGGCCATGTGGGAGTCCAGCGCCCTCAGCCACCATGCCACTTGCTGGCCTCTGTATTTTTCATTTTTGTTCACTACAGAGTACACATCAGAGAGACAGAGAGCCAAAGAAGGAAAGTGAGAAATCAGCTCCCTGGAGGGATGGCTACACTTCAGTCCCTTCTCCTCCACTCTCTTCTCAGGACTTTGGGCATGAAGGAGGTACCAGGTGTGGTTTTCAAGTCGCCAGGTCCAGGACCTGAACCACACAGCCAGCCATGTGGGACTAGCTGCCTCCACCACAGCACAGACTGGGCCACGTTTTGGTCTCCCTTACATGCTCCAAATCTCTTTGACATTGCCCCCTTGCATGTCAGGTTGAATTTGGATTAGTACTTGAATTAGTCATTTCAAAATTCCAGGCAGCTGAGGAGCGACAGTATGTAATATGCAAATGAGCTTCTAAAGTCATTTTCTGTTTTTATTCTGTCCTATTTCCATCTGTCTGGGAGATTCCTGGAAAGCCCATGTTCTAAAAGTATGTCCATTTATATTAGAAGCTGCCTCTGTAAACAGCCAATTGGTTCTACTTTTCTCCGGATCATTCTTAATTAACCGATTTGCTGCAGTTGAGTTGATAAAAGACAGCTGGCATGATTTATGCTGGAACAGCCGGTTAGTCCTGATGTACAACTTTAAACACATTCGCAGAAAAAGGGACAAGATCCAACTCCGACAGCAAACAGGTTTGTATGGTCAGCTCTCTTTCTTTCTCTCTAGCCAATTAGTATACTGTTTCTATTTAAAATGGAGTCTGGTTTTTCTCTTTCTCTTTATTTTCTAATTTTGCTACAGGGCATTCATGCCTACCAGAGAGGAAGAAAAGGAGAGAAAGAACCTCCCAGAGGGAGGGCCGTGCTGCAATTCCTGTTCCTCCATTCTCGGCACTCTGGGCAGGCATGCACGTGCGCCCAGTGTGTTTTTCAAGCCATCAGGTCTGGGACTCTAATACAGTCGCTCATGTGGGATCCGCGTATCAGCTGGCCCACGCCTGGCTATCATTAAAATGACTAATGCCGTCGATAACGGGAGAAACCATGCATGTGGGAGGGCAGGAGAGGATGTACTTTTCTCTCAGTTTTGCTGTTTACTGTCCTTAAAAAATAAAGTCTTTTTTTAAAACAAAGAATTATTTATTTATTTATTTAATTCCATTTGTTATTATTTTTAAAATTTGATCAGAGAGAGAGAGAGAGAGAGAGAGAAAGCAAGCCGTCAGGTCCAGGACTCGAGTCAGCCATGTGGAAATCCAGTACTACCTGCCACCTACCAACCCCCAAAAATAAAGTCTTAAAAAAAGAAAGCAGGGCCGGGCAGTGGCGTGGTGGTTGAGGAGGGTGGACTGACTGGCAGTCCAAGCTGGGCACACCTGCCAGGTGTGTGTGTGCATGCATGCCCAAAATCTGGACAGGAGGACAGAGAGGAGACCGTGGCTTGGCCCTCCCCCTGGAGTGCCCTCTCACTTTCTCTCCCTCTCTCTCTATCTCTGGCAAGTACACATGCACTGTAGTAAAACTTTAAAATAGAAAAAATGACGCAGTGTTTATTGCGCAATGATTGGAATGTCAGATCTGTTGGGAGAAAACTTCAAAGACCTCAAAGCCTACGTCCTCAGAGGGCACTTTCTCTCGACACCCGCGGTGTCTCCTCAGAGCTGCCTCCCATGTGGAGCTCAGTGTGCTCAGGAGTTTGGGGTGCAGATTCAGACATGTGCATGCCGCCACGAGTCCCTGCTGCTTCGGAGCCAGGTTTACTGGAGGGGCCCCCGCGCTCTGCAGTCTCCAAGCACCCCCTCCCGCCCTGCTTCGGCACCA